TGAGCTTGGTTGTTTGCTTGCAGATGTTTCATTACCTGACTAGGTAACATCATCAGTGCTAATGAATGTGGGGTTGCTCCCTGTTTATATTCAGTAGCTTGCCCTGCCACTGTTGCTGGGGATGTGGATTTCTCTGTGGAAGTTCCTTGATTACGGTACTGTTTTCTGCTTGTCTGGTGTTAATCCTTGTCTATCTGGGTGTTGGCTGCTGGAGGGGATATGTTCTGGGCTTTTTTGTTTCTTTCTTAGCTTTTTGTTATCTCTTTTGAGTAATGTGTAATTATGGTTTATTTTTATGTGCCTACTGATGGCTGATTTGTCTGAATGCCAAGCTTCCAGAAATTCCCTAACATTTTTGATTTGGTTTGGTCTAGGTTGCTCACAGTTTCCCAGTTGAAACTGTGGTTGAGTCTGTCCATATATTGTAAAATTAAGGACTTTTCATCATGTCTTTGGACTGCTAGTTGGTGTTCATGGATGCACTCTGCTAGTCTTCTGCCTGTCTGTCCTAAACAGTGGCTGTTACAGTCCTTACACTGTATGTTGTTGATGACTCCTGTTTTTTCTTCTTGGGCTACTGGGTCTTTTGGTTTACTTAAGGTGTTTTGGAGAGCTTTAGTTGGTTTGTGTGCTATGGTGATGCTGTATGATTATAATAGACTACAGATTGTTTCAGAGATGTTTTTGATGTATGGTAGTGTTATTTTATTTATTTATATTTCAAATCCTTTTCATAGCTTGTGTGGGTTGTGCTGCAATGGGTTGAATGGTCAGGTACTTTTTGATAAAGTTGTGCGGGTATCCATTTCGTTGGAAAATGTTGTATAGGCAGTCTGTTTCCTTTTTCTGGTGTTCCGGGTGGCTGCGATGTGTTTGTGCTCATCTGAATAATGTTCTTATGCAGCTCCTCTTGTGGGAAGTTGGGTTGTTACTCAACTTGGTTAGTGTTGGTTGTTTTTCGACAGCCTTGTGTTTCTAATTTGCCATCATTTCCTCTGCTGATGAGAATATCCAGGAAGGGTAGTGTGTTATTGCTTTCTTCTTCCCTTGTGAATGTTATTCCTTTGAAGGTGTTGATAGTTTCATGTGTCTTCTCTAGTTGTTCCTTTTTTATTATGACAAAGATTATAGACAAAGATCTATAAATGACCATGATGTATGGAAGACTGAGGCTTAGAAGAAGAAGGCATGAATTAATAAATGAAATGAGAGAAAAAAAATAGATACTTTGGGAAACTAAGAGAAACTGGAAGGATATAACTGATCTGAATGAAGATAATCTAATCATGTAAAGTTAATGGATACATGTAAATGAACTGAAGATTTTGGTCTAATTGTGAATAAAAAGGCTAAATTAGTATGAATGAGTTATAACCAAGTTGGTTCTGGCTGCATATGAAAGTAAGTAACTGATATCATTGAGATGGTTCTAGGTGTGTATGAAAGTAAATTCGGCATCATCTCTATTCTGGGTGTATCGAAAAGTAGGAATTCATTGGTGGCTGACAGTTACATATTAATGGGCCAGTGAATAGCGGCAATGAATCAGAGATGAGCTTTGGGGAAAAATGTGTAACATTCTGAATAAAAGCAATTCAGGGAGAAGAAACTATTTTCTTAGGTGACAATAAGAATGGACAGAAAAAAACAATATTTTGTTCTTTAAACTAATTGTACAGATTTTTATTAGAATGATAATGCTAAAGACCAGAATTGAAATGAGTGCTATAAATGTCAATGTCCTGAGAAAAACCTGATTAAAAGAAATCATAAATGCTTCAGAAAGTGGAAAAATGGAAGGCTGCAGATATTGATACTAAAAGTGTTAAATGGGGAGAAATATTAAAATATGGAAATGAACTGCTTATGGACCAGCTATGCAATTAGTTTAATATTGTGTGTAGAGACCACATTCCTGCCCAACAACTGGAAAAATGCTGTTATTATTCTCTGTACAACAGGAACATTGAAAAGGTGTAAAAGATGAAAATGGGCAAGAATTGGGAAGCATGGCTTCATGTTGTAGCTCCATAGAGTATGTGCAAATCAGATTTTTGCTCCTCAGTATGTCATGAAAAATGTATGAATATGAGAAAAGGCTTACTGTACATTTGCTGATTTAGAGAAAGGTATGATGAAGAAAATAAGCTTGAATTACGGAAAGTTTTGTACAAACACAGAATTGAAAGTTGGTTGTTAAATGCAATGAGCAGTATATGACGGAAGTAAAGTATGCAAGAAAACAAATAATTAAAAATGAGTAAGGAGTAAGAAAATGGTATACATGATATCCCCTTGATTGGTGAACACTTCTATAGATAACTGTATACTTGTGGTGAACTTGTGGTGAACTATATGCATTGGATGGGGATCTGAATGCATGCACATTTTTATAAGCAAACTATGCCATATTGCTGGCTGAGGTCCTATGATTTACTGTGAATCTTAGATTGTATGATGAAATGAAAAATACATATGTGAAATACATACAGAAAGTCAAAGTAGTCGTATTTGGCAGGGAAAATAGGTGAAAGTTATAATTAAAATTAGTAGCTGAACCTGTGTATCTGGGTAGAATATTTATGAAAGATGGGGAAATTAGAAATTTTAACTTGGGCAAATTCTAGTAGGTCATGAATAGTACATGGTCTATGTTGAGGTATAAATGTAAAAAGAAACAAATATGGGTACAGGTAGTCCTTGCTTAATGACCACTCATTCAGCAACTGTTCAAAGTTATGACAGTGCTGAATGAGACTTATGACCAGCCCTCAGAGTTGCGGCCACTGCAGTATCTTCTCGGTCACATGATTGTGATTTGGGCGCTTGGCAACCAGCTCCAAATTACAATTGCAGCATCCTGCGGTCACATGATCGTCATTTGTGACCTTCACTGCCAGCTTCCAACAAGCAAAATCAGTGGGGAAGCTGGAAGGTCACAAATGGTGATCATGTGATATCACGTCTAAGGACTGTGTGGGATTCACTTAATGCTGGAAACCGGAACTGCCACAACTGCCGTTTAAGTCAGCATAGTGACGTGATGTTGTGCTTTAGGACCACATTGCTTAGCGATGGAGTTGCCGGTCTCAATTACTGTTATTAAGTGAGGACTACCTGTATACTTCTGCTCACTTTGTAATAAGGAAATGAGACTTCAGTATGTCAGATGAAACATACAAATTGAATCCAGTGAAAATGAGTTACTTAAGAAAGCTGTGTGGCAAAACTAAAGAGATAAAGTCAAGAATGAATGGATGTTGAATGAATGTGGACAGAACACAAGATTAAGTGTTCAAAAGAAGTATGGTAAGGTATGGTAAGGAATGAGGACTAGATTGCAGAACCATATGAATGGTATTATGAAAGGTTCAAAGGATGAATGTATTATGAATGCTGATAGGACAGATAGAAAGGTATGGAGAGTTATAGTTAATCCTTACTGACAACCCTGTGTTAACCTGGCCCAAAGCAACAGGCAAAAATTGGAGCTCCTCGGCTTTTCATTAACCCAACTTTGCATATTTGGCTACAAACATGCAACAGAGATGTTGAGGCAGCAAATTAAAGATATCGATATCCAAGTAGATCTGGCATCTCTTCCCAAGGATATACCCTTAACCAGCTTGTTCACTCTCCTTAGATCTGCTAGATAGATAAATCAAATTACAAACCCTAAATATAGGAGGGCATTTTCTTTGGCTTGATTGAATGCCATTCCTACTGCAGTCCTAGAAGAGAGATACAAAGGTATCCCAGTTGGGCTAAGGTTTAGCCCACATGGCAAAGGGGCTATTGAAACTCTTAAGCACATTTTATTATAGTGCCCATTTTACACTCAGAGTTGATAACCCCACATTTAAACATATTTCTGGTCATTCTGATCCATTATACTTACAACTTCTACTTTCAGATATTAATGAATGTTACTCTAAATGTAAATTCTGATTGACTGCAGCTGCTGATTGATTTGCCCAGTTAATTTTACTATTTGTTCTTTTTATACAGATGTAAACTGTTTTATACTACAGTACTGAGTTTATTATGTATTGGTCTTTGACTGCAATAAAGACACTTGATTTTGTGAATAATGTTGGCTAAAACTAGATTGTTTTCCTTTAAAAAGAAAAACAACAAAAATCCTGGCCTTTATTTATTTTTTTACTATTTCTTTCCCCTTTTCTGTGTTTTATATAATCTTGCTTACCCCAAAAGAAACTGCTTGATGGGTTTATCTGTCTTTCTGTATCTTAGTTATTAGGTTGCCTAGAAGATATCTCCATGTTTCATAAACAAGCTTAAATTCCAACATACAACTTGAAGGGCAAAATACATATGACATGCAGAGCTGTGCCCTCTTCTCAATCGAAATCAGCCTCTAAGGCTGCATGTATCAGCAGTGACAGACTTTTTTACATGCATTTTGATTCTGAAGAAGTACTGTCTATTTTTATCCTTACAATGTGTGCAAAAAATTATAAATTCAGAAAAACAAATGTAGTAAATCAGAAGTATTATAGTTCAATGTAATTCAATTTACCACTGCATTGAAGCCATGTGCAATTCAGTTGAGATGGTTCAACAGTAATGCAGGAACTACAGTTCGTATGTCTTTCACAGCCAACTAAAACAGAAAATGGAGTTAAAAAAAAAAGCCAGTTAACAATGGGTAGAACAGTTAATAGAAATGTAAAAGCAACAAACAGTTTAAACTTAAAGGCTATGATACCTCATTGATGACTAAAGATACTTTGCATGATAGATACTTTATATGTGAACCAAAATTCAGAAATACTTGTAATAGGTTTTTTTTCATTTTTAAACAGAAAATTAACAGAGCAAGTTAATATTTGTGCCAAATGGGGACGGCAGGAGGTGTAGACAAAGAATTACACACTATGATCTATGCATATTCAGAATTTATTCTTTAACTGCTACTTTCATTAGCTATTCCTGACTCTGTGAAAGTATTAATTTAACCTATCATTACTTGTGTGCCAAACTTTATGTGCCTATATGCCTTGAAGCTCTTCTGATTTCCCCTTTCACTCTAAAATGGATCTGGTTTTAATTACTGAACTTTATACACTAATGACACTAATTTAAATTTAAGTTTTAACTCAATTCTTTCAGGTTTAATGAGAATATCCCTAAACCATAACAATGAAATGTCATATTTACATTTATGGCACAAGTAGAGCTTTTCCCCTCTGTAAGGGTGAAGTATCTATTAAGATGATCTGCCCAGTGAGACAAATGGATTCTAGATTCCAGAAGGCTCTGGGGGAATTTCCTGCTGGTATGTTTGGTACATCTGTCAAAACCCTGGTTGTTCTGTAGAATATAGAGCTGTCCTAGGTGGCTGACACAATTGCTCCTAAGCACCCTCTTCTTTGCCAGCAGAGCCTGAGCAGTAGCTTGGCATGCATCTGAGTTGAGGACTATGAAACAAGTAGGGTGTCAGCTAGAACACACATGGAGGAAAACTCATGCCAAATGTAATTCAATACAGTTTAGAGCCCATTAAAAAGCCTATGGGATACAGTAAGGGGTCTTCTTAGTGTCACCCAATGGAGCTTTTTTAAATAGCAAGGGGCCTGTTGCAATGTAGCCCAAAGAAAGAGGCTGCTGTACCCTCAGTAGCATGTTGTGAGAAATTCACAAGACACTTAGAAGGTAAATTGCTTGCATTCATCACAATTTAGCCTCTGCAGCTTATGCAAATCCAGAAGTGGAAGCATCCAGAGCACCATCCTGTCCTGTTTTATTGGATGAGTTTCAGTTGTTGAGCCCCAAGATGAGCAAGGTACAGTCATGTGAAAAAGAAAGTACACCCCTGAGTTCTATGGTTTTACGTATCAGGACATAATAAAAATCATCTGGTCCTTAGCAGTGCTCAAAAGTAGGTAAATACAACCTCAGATGAACAACAACATATGACATATTTACACCATGTCATCATTTATTTTACAAAAATAAAGCCAAAATGGAGAAGCTGTGTGTGAAAAACTAAGTACACCCTTACTGCTTCCATAGGTATGAAGAGGCTAAGTAGCAGCCAGGTGCTGCTAATCAAACACCCTTGATCAATTGATCATCAGCAAGTGTGACTACCTCTATATTTACACCATGTCATCATTTATTTTACAAAAATAAAGCCAAAATGGAGAAGCTGTGTGTGAAAAACTAAGTACACCCTTACTGCTTCCATAGGTATGAAGAGGCTAAGTAGCAGCCAGGTGCTGCTAATCAAACACCCTTGATCAATTGATCATCAGCAAGTGTGACTACCTCTATAAAAGCCAAAGTTTTAGGAGTTTGCTGGTCTTGAGCACTGAGGTGTGTGTTAAGACAATGCCAAAGAGTAAAGACATCAGCAATGATCTTAGGGAAGCAACTGCTGCTGCCCATCAATCTGGGAAAAGTTATAAGGCCATTTCCAAACAATTTAAAGTCCATCATTCTACAGTTTATTCACAAGTGGAAAATGTTCAAGACAGTTGCCAATCTTCCCAGGAGTGGACATCCCAGCAAATTCACCCCAAGGTTAGACTG